AATAATATATGGTTAATAAAAATCTATTTTAAGCTTACAAACAAATAAATTTTAGTTTTTAATATAGTACAAAAAAAGTAATCTAAATTTACGAATGCGTGTACTGTAAATACAGTACATACTTGTATATATTTTAATATGATTTTATGTGCTTTAAACGTTTATCTAGTGATATTACGACTTCAATATTTGTGGCGGACAGACGTAAAGTCGAATAAAATGACTTAAACTTGATTTTTATTTTTCCATATACTTTTTTAACAAGCGACGTATAATCGGGAACGACGTAACTCGAAACGACGTAAGTCGAGGTATGCCTGTAATCAACTTAGTATTGATATTACTTAAAAAACTAAAAAATTCTGAAATTCACAGAAAATTATAACATCTATAAAAACTTTTTAAAATTATTATTAATTGTTCAAATTTTTATATAATTTTTACTGATCAAGTAAAATTTAAAATTCTATAAAGAAATATATGTATAATACAAGAGTATATTGCAATTCAAAAAATTAATTAATCAAGCAACCACTTTCAATTTTAGATATTTAATAACAAATAATTTTTGATCAAATTTTATAATTATGCTTTAATGCTCTTAATCAAAATACAGTTATTCCTCGTACAACACAATTTCACTCAGGGTATAATTGAGGATATCTCTCATACAATTGTGAGGGTCTAGCCAGGGATATGGAGTAGTTAAGACTCTTGTACCACTTATTCAGCAGCTATCCATTTGAATAGCCCTCAGGTTGTCTAAAAGAATGGCTTTTCTAATCAAAGAAATCAAGTGAGGAGAGACTTAGTTTGATCTCAAAACTTTTAAGGAGGGCTTTTTATATATAGTAGAAAGATCTAGATGGTAAGTTCTAGATCATGTCAGGATCCTTGACACCAGTTAATCGAATTATTACATGCGGATTAACATGAGTTCACAAATTGATATGGAGAGGATGAGATCTTTTGATTCAGACATAAAGAGACAGTTCTTTAACATAAAAATAATGAGTATTTAATAAACAAAGGAAAAATATACAAAGTGGACCTTCAATATAGATAATTATGATATCGCGGAGAGAGAGATCACATTTCAAGTTAAAACATACTACCTCACTATATATATATACTTCTGTATGCAGATAGATGTGAATATTCGATCTTTCGCTATTTCTTCTCTTGTTTCTGTTCTTGTCACTTATTATTTCTTGGGCGGCACTTCAATAAACATTTTCTTTAACTTTGGAACTTAGAAATAAACTTTGTATGAATTTCAGGAGTTAGCTATGGGTGTTGGCTGTGGGGAGAGGGTATGGAATACGTCCTTCTCCTATGGAATTTCGTGGCGTACTCCCCGAATAATACTAAAGAATCCCCTTTTTCGATGTTTTTCTCCAATGGGAAAATTGTATTCTTCCCACATGTTTAGGAAGAGTGGGGGTTTACAGAGGGGTAACTGGACTGTATGTGACTCAAAATTTGTGAAGATAAGGGAAAACAAAAAGGATGTAAAACTTCTGTTGAGAAGGAAGTGAATTTTACCGGTTTCCATTGTTTTTAACTTAAAAATTTTCCATTTAAAATCAGAAATATTATTTCAAAAATTATTGACCTGATATAAATATTCAATTAATTAAGAGGGGGTGTTCAAAATCTCACACAATAAACCAGATGTTGCTGTCATTGGTGACAGTGCACTAAATTTAAAAGACTGTCACTGTGTTTTGTTCTGTTTTTATTAGTTAAATTAAAAGTTACTAAATAAAAAGATTAAATTTTTAAAAATCTCTTAGGCAAACACAAGAAAATAAAAATATCAGATTTTATGAAAAAAAAGTAGAGAAAAACCAAGACATTGCAGATACTTCATTGCTTTCCTGTTGACCTTTAATTAAGGTCAACAGGAAAGCTCAGATGATGATGATATTTTGTCAAAAAAAAAAAAAAAAGCTTCCTTGTTTAACAGTGTGTTTTGCAGTGAAGAAAAAAATTAATATCAACTAGCAATACTTATGATTATGATTGTTAGTTAATTATTAATTAATATAACAAACATTCATCTTAATTATGAAAAAGAATAGTATACTTTTGCTAACTTTTGGAATTTAATCCTATATATTGTACTATGTACTAATCCTTTGTTTTGTATAGCATGGATTCATATATCATGACACTTTTTCAGAACTCAACTACCATGCTATACGAGGGATATCTGTATTTATATATTACTAGCTGCAAGGACCCGCTTTGCTGGGTTTTTATTTCTATGTAATATAGTTTTTTTATATATATAAAAGACTGTTTTTCTAAGTAATCTGGAATCTAGCTGCAAGGACCCGCTTCGCTGGGCAAAAAGTAACGATAGTGAAGATTAAGATAATTACATTATAGCCAATCTTACCTGTTTTCACAAAATGCAAGAATTAGGTCCCCCGTTTCTAGACTAATTAGAGACCTGGTCCGGATTTTTTTTCTGAATGTCTCCTGTTCATGTCAAACGAACTATTTTCAACGTTT